TTTTTTTTTTAAAGTAGGCTGAAAGATGTTAACATTTGAGTTACATTATGTATTTTTAATTCAATTGAATAATCTATTTTTTTTAAAAAACTTACGAGGAGAAGCACTTACATATATTTTATTACATTCGGATGATATAATCCAAAAATACTCTTTTCGCCTTCTAAAACTTCTTCACGCACATCTTTTACTGCAACTATTTCATATTTATTATATAAGCTTTTGTACACTTTACCAAAAGAGCCATCTCCAATTATCGCAAGATTTCTGATTGACTCGTATGGTATTTCTGTAAACTACTTCATTTGTTCTCCAGTAAGCAAAGAATTTGTTACAGTTTTAACAGAAGAAGTTAAACAAAAGTTGAATACAATCTGACGACAACTGTTTTTTCATGAGTGGACATAACCTACTTGGTTAATCGGTTATAACTGGCAATGCCTCAAACAGTTATCAAAACCTTATATAACTTCAAGTTTTCTGAAAACGTAAATGTTTTTTGCACTTGTCTTTTTTTGGAAAAAAGGAGTAGAAAAGTCATTAAACTAGAAAAAGTAAAACTGTTTGAAAAGTGTTTCTTAGATTTACCTCATTTTATTGTTTTTAGAGCTTTAAAAGTTAGATTAAGAAAAGTGAAAGTCCTCAAACTAAAATTTACCTCGAACAGCTAAACTTTATTTTTTCAGAATAAATGCCGAGAAGAAGGGGACAACATTTTCAGTCTTTTATAGCTCTGCTCAAGTTTTGTAAGAAAAAGCTTTTGACACAAACCTTGAATTTCACCGCTGCTGTCGCTGTGGCTTTTGAAAACAAGACCTTTGTCCATTCGTAAGTGAGTAAAAGCGAAATATTCTGCTGCCGTTTTTAAGGCGTTTAGTATGCGATTTTATCAGTTCTCACTGATAAGCAAAAGCTAAACACTTCAACCAGTGCTTTGCTGTATTATTGATTTAATAGTCAGAATAATAAATAATGATAATGTCAAAATAGTAATTTTCACGTATGTATCTTTAAATTTCTAAAAACCAGCAAATCACTGTCAAAATGCTGTTTTCGTTCTGCTTCAGTTTTCGTCTTTATCGTCTTTATTTAAGAATTTTTCTCAAGTGTTTTCGTCGATAGCCGTTTTTTGCTATCCAAAAACAGCGCTTTGACACAATCAGAAGATACAAGATATACATTAAGTACAGAGAAAGACTGAAGAAAATTAGTGTGCATCAAAGACTAGATTAACTTAAATATCTTTTACTGTACATAAGAAAATTCTTATATTACATAAACCTCAATGCTTTAATACCCTGTGTTGTAAATAATACAGAAATACAGAAATATTCTTCAAAAACGGTTATTGAAATTAGATGTTTAAAAATAGACAAAGATCTGCAGACGTCAACTTTATCTTCAAAGATAAACAGAATCTCAACACAAACAGGCACATTAAAAAAAATTAATTTATGTACTGTCGAAAATTCTGAATTTGTCATACTCTATTTATGGAGTCTCGCCTAAAACTATCAAGTTTAACACAAAAACTAAGAGAGCTATAGAAAATGACTGTAATGAGTTTTAATACTGAAAAGCAGTAAACAGTAGTGGCAAGTATCGCTTGTTAAGATTCCACCGGGCTCGGATGATTTAATTTTACTTGTAAATAATTTGTTACAGTTTTAACAGAAGAAGTTGAACAAAAGTTGAATACAATCTGACGACAACTGTTTCTTCATAAGTGGACATAACCTACTTGGTTTATCGGTCATAACTGGCAATGCCTCAAACAGTTATCAAAACCTTATATAACCTCAAGTTTTCTGAAAAAGTAAATGTTTTTTGCACTTGTCTTTTTTTGAAAGAAAGGAGTAGAAAAGTCATTAAACTAGAAAAATTAAAACTGTTTGAAAAGTGTTTCTCAGATTCACTTCATTTTATTGTTTTTAGAGCTTTAAAAGTTAGATTAAGAAAAGTGAAAGTCCTCAAACTAAAATTTACCTCGAACAGCTAAACTTTATTTTTTCAGAATAAATGCCGAGAAGAAGGGGACAACATTTTCAGTCTTTTATAGCTCTGCTGAAATTTTCTAGAAAAAAGCCTTTGTCACAGACCTGGAATTTCTGCTCTGCTGCCGCTTTCAATAACAAGACATTCGTTCATTTGTAAATGTGTAAAATCAAAGTACTCTGCTGCCGTTTTTAAGGCGTTTAATAGTGCGATTATATCAGTGCTTATTGATAATCAAAAGCTAGACACTTTTACCAGTGCTCTGCTTTGTTACTGATTATTATCAGAATAATAATTTTTACGTATGCATCTTTAAATTTCTAAAAACTAGCAAATCACTGTCAAAATGATGTTTTCGTTTTGCTTCAGTTTTCATTTTTATTCAAGAATTTTTCTTAAATTGTTATCTTAAGTGTTTCCACCAATAATTGTTCTTTTACTGGACAGCCAAAAAATGGTTTGTGTAAGGCTGTTAAATGAGCAAAAATTGAACATTACTGTTTGTTACGGAAGCATTAAATTTTCTTGCACTACTTTTATATTTTATCCTTCGCTCGCATATTTGCTTCTACGAAATCTTCCAGATTTTGGAAGTTCTTTACAATGGTACAGTTTTTTTAGTGGAATAACATTAGAAGATTTAAGTCCACGAAATTTTACAAATTTAACAACAGTACTCAACGCTTTGCGAGATTTTCTGCACAATTGGAAATGCTATGAAACTATCTTACAGTGTTCTCAAATTTCTTTAATCAGCGATAATTTCTCTATATTTTTATTACTTCAAGAGAAGAGATGTGATCCTTTTGCAAAACATTACAACTGAAAACACTTATAACACTTATTTGATAATATCTGATCACCTTCTGACACCTTCCAACACGGAAAGTGTTCCTATTTCTATAGAGGCGTGAAAATGGCATCACTTTGAGATTTTGAAATACTTTTTTGTCCTGCTACGCTTGAGCGGATTACGACGTTTAAAAATAAGTTGTAACTGGAAACGAAAAGTGCGATACAACTTTTTGTATACTAAAATTTGTGATAGCGTAAATTATAGATGTTATACATCAGAAAATTCAATAAGGCCAAATAATTGAAAATTGATACACTGTATATAGGAGTAATCATCAAACGAGTATCTGTGGAAAATATTACCAAAGAGGAGAAATTAGAAACGAAATTTGTTGAGGAAAATGTGTAAACTAATCAGTAAACTATAAGAAGAAACAAAATTAATAATTTGCGGTTTTTTTCAACGTTGAGTTGATTTTTTTTCATACAAAAAAACGCATTTTGGACAATCAATTCCCTTATTACTTGGCAGTATTAAATTACTATTGAATTACATTTATCGAATCGTTACCCAAATTGTCGAAGATTGAGATTTATTCACTTCTTATCGTTTTTCCTAACCCAGCAGAATTCAAATAACATTTAGTAAAATTTCAGCATAATGCATCTTGTTGAAAATCTATAATAAAACTGCTTTTTTTTTTCTGAATGTTGTTTTAATGTTGTTTTAAAAAGAAACTTCTTGTTAACAAACCGTTTTGAATCAATAGTAACCTTGCGATCATTCCATTTGCTGTTATCAGAAAAAATATTAAGCGTTGAAAATTTTCAAATTATTTCTCTTTACTTTCTCTATATTCTAAATTAATTGCCTTTAGTAGTCCTTTTTAGCTTAGAAGAATGTTTGTTAAAAACAATTTATTTCTCTGACTAGTTCGATTTAACTGCACTGTGTTTGGATAGATAACCTGCTTCTTCTTTCTTCTCTCTAGTAAACAGAAACTTTACATTAAACATTTTCTCAAAAGTTTTTGCTGTGTAGGTCGTACTAGAATAATTTGCTTATTTATCATTTTTGGCTAAATTAAGACTTAATCTCAAACAGTTATTTAGTGTTCCATGCAGTGTGTTTATTTTTAGCACCCTACAAAGATTTGAAAAGGTAAAGAAATGGAACAATACTCAAACCAAAGATTATGCAAAAAATACTACCAGCGAAAAGAAAAAAAAAGTCAAGGCACATTCTTTAAAGAAATGGCGTTTTTAAATGCGACAAACATTTGACACAAATGTTTTGTTAAATAAAAATAGCATTTTCATGAAATATCAACTATAGTTTTGAAAATAATTTAGCACCAACAAGAAGTGTACAAAAAAATTTGTAAAACAATGATGCAGTTACATAGAAAATGAATAAATGAATGAATAGACTGACAGATTTTGTTACACGGTTTCACTGTTCTTCTGCTCAGCTTATAAGCTCGTCCCGTGTCAAGTAGTAAACTTTTGTTAGTCAATCTCTAAGATTTTTTTATGTTTTCTTCCTGTTTGTAACACTAGATACCGGATTGTGAAATTGAAAGAGTTTACCTCAAAAAGCTTCTCGGCGGCAAAGTTAGACTGTTCTAAAGTGCAGAAGAAAACATATTTTGTTTTAGTCATAATCACCTTTGGAAATTTATACTTTTCTTCATCTGCAACAAATTTTTCTGAATTTTACTTTATATGAAACTTTTCTTCTGTAGATTCAGAAAATGAGTGAGACGCTCACATTAGCAAATTGTATTCGAAAGTAAAAAACAGAATTTAGAAGGTTCTCTTTTGAAAAAAAAAAAAAAATCTTTTAATTTTTTTGAAAGATATTTTTTTGCACAATACATAAAATCTGTAAGATGGTATCTTTTCAAAGTCAAAAGTTACGGTACAATTGGTGACAGTAAACTGCAAAAAGTCTCCAGTTGATGCAACATTGCGGCGCCTCCACGAGTGATAGAGCCCTTCAGTAGCTAACAAAGAACATTATACTTTCAAAACCACCGGTAATATACTGCATAAGCACATCATTTTTATCCGTCGTAAGACCAGTTTTTAAGTCTATTTTGATACTTTGCGTAACAACATTAATATTGCCTTACTCGAACCTTCAATCGCTATTTCTAGATTTTTCGAAAAATTGAGTTTTTCACGTTTAGTAACTAATGCGCACTACTCTTACTTCAAAACGGTAATTTCTAAAAATCTTCAAAAACATTTAGAAAATACTTTTGAAAAACTGATAACTCATAATTTCTAACATTTTGTGTCATTATTAATAACATATGCAAAACAGCGTTTTAAAAGAGAACCAGAAAAAGTAGAATTATGTGTACTATAAAAACTTTTCAAGAAAAAAAAAAGTTGACGAGCAAAAAAACACATATCAGTTTTATATGTCAAAAAGACTGCCTAAAATTTAGTATTCTCTAACTGCATTTTAGATTTTTCGTATATACTTCATACTAAACAATTTTTACTCGAAAGCTGACAAAGATATCAGCAACTTGACAAATTTTCATAACTTGGAAAAAGTTTTGGAGTAAGTCAGTTATAAGCAGTGGCGCAGTTGACTGTACACTGAGAAGAAACTTTAGGTTAAAGGTGTTTTATGCACCAAGTTCTCAAATCTTGCAAAGCGTTTGGAATTTTACTTTTAATCTTATACTGAAAGTAAGTTTAGACAAAGTGTTTCTGCGAAGGATAAGAAGAGTAGTTCTGCTCAAATCAAACTCTGTTTTACATACCTTTTTTAACTTTTTTACTATTTTATTGCAGCAGTCAAGTAAAAGTTTTTCAGAAGTAGATTTATGAAAAATTTTAAGTCTTTTTTCCTCAGATTTCTTTTGCTGACAAGCTGGAAACATTTGTCTTAACTTTTAGAGTATGATAAGCAATGCTTTTTGAATTTTGAACTGTAAGACCATTAATATTTGTTGCTAAATTATAATAATTTTTAGAGACATTATAAACAACATTACCGGTTTACATGAATCTATAGTT